CTTGCTTTGCATGCATGAGGCCCTGGGTTCAATTCCTCAGCACCACATAAGCAAAAAGAAAAAAGCCGGAAGTGGTGCTGTGGCTCAAGTGGTAGTGTGCTAGTCTTGAGCTGAAGAGCATGGGACAGCGCCCAGGCCCAGAGTCCAGGCCCCAGGACCAGACCCCCCCCCCAAAAAAAAAAACGACAGGGGAGGGAGGATAAGAAATGTACTCATTATCTTGCCCATGTAATTGTTACCCCTCTGCACAGTATTTTCACACAAAAAAATTAAAAAAACAAAAAACAAACGACAACAATGATAATAAAAACCCACAACAGGCACTTCCCAGAAGTGCATGCAACACCAGAAAGCAAAGATACAAACATGCCAAGCGGAATAAACTTTTAAGAAAATGTGTGTGGGAGGCATACACTTAGCTGGGACTCCTAGAAGAAACATAACATGGCTGCAATAGGAGACCCTCCAAGCCCACTGCTATTGGTGGCTTATTTCTTTTCTTTTTTGGGTCCGGTCGTGGGGCCTGAACTCTGGGCCTGGGCGCTGTCCCTCAGCTCTTCAGCTCAAGGCTAGCGCTCTACCACTTGAGCCACAGTGTCACTTCCGGTTTTTTTCTTTTTGCTTATGTGGTGCTAAGGAATTGAACCCAGGGCCTCAGGCATGCAAGGCAAGCGCTCTACCACTGAGTTGGTGGCTTATTTCATTTAATCCTCTAAGAAAGCTCAGGAAGGTAAGTATAGTATTAGCAGCAGAAATGGAAAGTTAAAAGAATTTTAGTCATTTACCCAAGCTCTTGAAATTTCCTGGAGGTGAACTGGACTGACCAAAGCTACTCTCAACTGAGGGCATAGCTCTAGCTGAGGCTCTGAGTTCAAATCCCAGCAGTGTGTGTAGGGCGGACACCACCACCAAGCAACAATAACATCAACAACAAAAACTACACTCACATACTAAATATATTCCCTTATGGCTTCCCTGAATCCCAGATGAGGAAAATCTTTTGGGATTGGGAATGAAGCTCAGTGCTCATGCTGGACCAGCACGTGGGAGGTCCTGGATTTAACCACTATCACCACCAAATCTTTGAGATGAAGGCTATTTAATCAAAGGAAAATTTCTGATTCTAGAATGTAACAGAGCAGTGTCTGGTAAAACATAAAAACACACATCTTAACTCCTCAGCAAAACCACTTCTAGGTCAACTTCCTAGGAAATCATTTGATGTGTGGAGCAGCAGGAGGCGTGCACAACAAGGGTTTATGTCAACGCTGCTCCTGAGGAAGAATCACATTAAAATCCATTGGTCAACACATCTTCAAACAGTGTTTAGAAGAAATATTGGGTGAAAAACTCAATTTGCAAGCTTGCTGATAGTGGCTAGCCCTTGTAAACCTAGCTATTTAAGAAGGTGATACCCAGAGGATAGTGGTTTGAAATCAGCCTAGGCACACAAGTTCCTGAGGTTTCCATCTTCAACTAAGCAACTAAAAGCCAGGCTGGCTGAGTTGTTGGTAGCTCTAGCTATTCAGGAGGCAGAAATCTGAGGATTGTGGTTTGAAGCCAGCCTGGGCAGGAAAGTCTGAACCTATGAAAGTTTCTGTGTGTTCATATGCGTGTGTAAGTGTGTGTGCATATGCACACACATACACATACCAGGCTGAAGTATGAGTAAGCATATGGAGCAAGAGTGAGGCTACACCAAAAAGTTCTGGAGGCAAAATTTATATATGTTGAGGGCTGGGAACGTGGCTCAGTGGTAGAGCGCTTGCCTTGCATGCATGAGGCTCTGGGTTCGATTCCTCAGCACCATATAAGCAAAAAGAAAAAAGCCAGAAGTGGCGCTGTGGCTCAAGTGGTAGAGTGCTATAGCGCCTTGAGCTGAAGAGCTGAGGGACAGCGCCCAGGCCCAGAGTTCAGGCCCCACGACTGGACCCCCCCCCCAAAAAAAAATTTATATATGTTGAAAGTACAAATCTCACACATTTTGAAGCAGCCCTGAAACTCATCCTGGGTGGATTACTAAGACAAAGATATCTGGCTGATCCTTCCAGCAAAGAAGAAACAAAAAAAAAAAAAGATAGATGTCTTATATTGTGTTTAGGTCTACTATCCATTTCCAGCTAATTGTTATATTATGTGAGGTAATAATTAAAGTTAATTTTCTGTTTGGGCAGGAAACTCTGAATCGTATCTCCAATTAACCACCAAAAAGCCTTAAGTGGAACTGTGGCTTAAGTGATAGAGCATTAGCCTTGAGCATAAAAGTTCAGGGGCAGCACCCAGCCGTGAGTTTAAATTCTAGGGCCGACACATACAATTTTCTTTTTCTTTTTGCCAGTCCTGGGACTTGAACTCAGGGACTGGGTGCTCTCCCTAAGCCTCTTTGTGTTTGATCAAGGCTAGCTCTCTAGCTCCTTGAGCCAGTGTCACTTCTGGCTTTCTCTGAGTAAATTACTGGAGATATGAGTCTCATGGATTTTTCTTCCCTGGCTGACTTCAAACATTGATTTTCAGATCTCAGCCTCCTAAATAGGTAAGATTACAGGTGTAAACCACCACTGCCTGGCTACAATTTTTTTTTCTTTTTTGGTTGATCCTGGGGCTTGAATTATGGGCCTGGGCGCTGCCCCTCAGCTCTTCAATCAAGGCTAGGGCTCTACCCCTCGCACCATAGTGCCACTACCTACGGTTTTCTGGTGCTTTATTGGAGATAAAGAGTCTCAAAGACTTTCCTGCTCGGGCTGGCTTTGAACCGTGATTCTCAGATCTCAGTCTCCTGAGCAGCTAGGATTACAGGCGTGAGCCATCGGTGTCCGGCCAATTTCTTTTTCTTAAACATAAATCTATACTGTGAACAGCAGAAGCAGACAAGGCATTTTTGTTCTTTTTGTCTTGGAAGGTCCTTTCACATCCGGAAGGGACTGAGATTTTGATATTTGAATCCAGACAAGAGGAAAACAAGTGTGAGTTACCTAGGAATATTTAGGTGCATAACAGGACCACTTTACACTGTGCACCTCTGGACCTCAACCTTCCGCAGCTCTTTAGCTCCAAACGGAACTTGATTTAGCTCGCCTTTAAGTATTATACCGTTCAGGTGTGAGTATGTAACAACAAAATTACATGCAGCTGTATAATAAGATGCATACTCTTCCTTCCCCCTCTCCCCCCATTGATCGATCGTTCATTTCGTGGATGGAAACGATGAAACCTGCAGAGGGCTAAGAGGAGACTTGAAACTTCCCTACAGTGCTGTGTGTATGGATAAAAACAATTGTTTACAGACAACACAAATAAAACCAGGATGCACTCAGTGTGGGGTGCGACAACTGCGGAAAGAAATGAGGATGAAGCAGCAGCGGAGGCAGGTACTTGGCGGGGCTCAGCCGCCTCCCACTGGAAAGAACTGGTCTGGACTGGAGGGGTTGCAACTAGGACCTCGGGGCGCCCGCCGCTAAGGCCCGCCTCTTCCGCTGGCAGGACGTTCAGTCAGCGTCCAGAATTGGAATGGTTTAGCCCCCCAACCGGATACGAGGTTGTTTTCTAGACACCAACAAACGACACTCAGCGTTGTACTCTTGATTTTCAGTTTGAGTTGCGAAAAGAGTCCCAGGTTCAAAACCACCCAAGCTTCCCGGGGGGCACGCTCCCCCCCCTCGCCCCGCGCAATGGTAGCGTCCGCAAAGGAGCCGGGAGAGCGAGGGGTGGAGCACACCACTCAGAGGGGGAGGGATCGAGGTTTGTATCCAAACAAACATCCCTTCCTGGGCACAAGCAACACATCAAAAAGTCCAGAAGAGGAAGCGGAATGGAGAAGAGCCCCCGGTACGCCAGCAAGAGGAGCCAGCTGAAAATTGGTTTTCTGTCTTTTCGTACTCCCCTTCACTCGGGTGGACTTTGAGCTGCTCCAACAAAAAGAAACCGGAAATGCTGCTGCAAGCGGCAGAAATGCAAACGTGCAGCCGCCAAACAATAACAGGGGCTGCCGGGGCTCTCGGACCCAGGCGGGACCGCGGGGTCTCGCAGGCAAACCCCTAGTGGAGCACTTCCCACTAACAAGGGGGAGAGTTGGGAATTGGATTTTCTCCCATCTAGCGGAGCTGGGAACCGGTTGGAAAGATCACTCCGGACAGGACAAAGGTCCGGAAGTTGTGGGCCCTTTAGTAGCAAGGGTTTTTCAGATCGCCCCCAAATAATTTCATCATGGAGCCCGTGGTTTCACTGGGATCCCATGGCTCTAAAATCTCGCCGCAGGAGGAATTCCACAAGTCTCAGACTCCAGGGCTTTGTGCATGTTATTACAGGGACTTCCACCACCCAACACTAGACAGGTCGTGTGTGTGTGTGTGTGTGTGTGTGTTATCCAGTAGGCCGGGTGCAGGTTCCCAGAAGTCCCAATGCCTTGGCCGGGTGCTCAGCTCTTAATCTGTGCCTAACAGCCCTACCATCTACACCCAAGCCTCCTAACATTTCATTCTTGTGTTTATCCGGCCAGCCAAGCTTCCATTCCCCCCTCCACACACCTCCAGCGAAACTCGCTACGTCCCGACTGCTCCACCCCCCAAACCCCAAAATTCTCCCGAGCTGCAAATCCAGAGTCGGTGACTCAGACAGGACCCACCAGGTATAGTCAGGAGCTTACCTGGTCCTCAGGGGAGCGTGTCGCTTTCCTAGGAAGCATGCTCCGAACCTGGATGCCAGGGGCGCCCAGAGCCCAGAAACCACCTTGCACCCACAATGGTGCCTACCGACTTTTGAGGAGCTCAAAACTTTTAGCGCCAGTCTGAGCACATGGGAGGGGAAAGTCCCAATCCCAGCAACCCCCGCGAGGCTCCTGGCACAAAGCTGGACAGTCGCCATGACAAGTAAGGGCAAGTCATTCACGCTGGGCGGAGGCGAAAGGAATGGAGTTGGGGGTGGAGTTAGTTTTATTGTTATGGGGTGAGGAAGCACTAGGAGCCTGGGCCCTGAGGGCAGAATTGGTGGGAACCATTTTGGAAGTCTGTATAAAGGATGGAAGAAAGGAAACTGCAGCTTTTGTTGTTGATTCACCTTGGAATATTCCTCTTTTCAGATATAGTTGCAGAGTTTCACTTTATTTATTGTTTAGATCCGAGACCCGGACTTGAACTTGGCATCTGATGCTTTCTCTCGTTGGCTAGCGCTCTGCTTCCAACCCCTAGTTTTTCATCAGTGAAGATGTCACCTTGTTTTTGTTGTCGGTCACCGGACTTGAACTTAGGCTTGGGTGCTGTCCCTGACCTTTTCTGCTCTGCTCAAGGCTAGTACTTTACCACCTTGAGCCGCAGCTCCACTTCCGGTTTTCTAGTGGTTAATTAGAAATAGGACTTTCCTGCCCGGGCTGGCTTTAAACCTTAGATCATAGCCTCTTGAGTGAGCCACTAGCGCCCTGTGAAAATGTCACTTTTTAGGAAGGCTTTCCTAAAGCCTAGTATTTCAATCTAACTTGTTCCCTTAGGCAGCCCTCTATCTCCTTTCCTCCTCCTCCTCCTTCTCCTTTCTTCTTCGCCGTGGGGCTTGAACTCTGGGCCTGGGCTCTGTCCCTAAGCTCAAAAGCTCAAGGCGAGTGCTCTACCACTTGCACCACAGCGCCACTTCCTACCTGCATAGTCTTTATCACTGTCTGAAAAGATTTATTTGTTCATTGCTTTCAGTGCACTGCAGGAACCTTATGCGTGTAGGAACTTGTAAACTATGTTTATTCATTGTCATATTCCCCAATGCCTCCACAAGGCTTAGTAGGAAATAAGAGCTCGATAGAAAATGTTTATTCAATGAATCAAGAAAAAAGTCTGATGAATGTGGCGAATAAAGATGCATGGGGGGGGGAGATGGGAAAAGATGGGAAGGGGAAACAAAGGAGGAGGCAACAATGCTTGATAAGAAATGTGCTCATTACCTTGCCCATGTAATTGTAACCCCTCTGTACGGTATTTTCACACACACACACAAAAAAGATGCATTAGAGGTGTGAAATCTGTAAAAATCCAGCACCCTCTGCAGGCGAGGTAGAGTAGGTGCTTTCAGAATTACTGCAGAAGGAAGGGGGCGTGGCTCAAATGGATTCCATCCTCAGTACAGAAAGAAAGTTACCTCGGGAGACTGTAGGGGGCGCTCGGGCACTTCTCGCGGAGGCAGAGCGTTCAGACTACAACTACCAGAAATCATCATTGGGGAACCTCAACGTAACTCGTTTCTCCCTGCGCCGTCCCTCGGTGTTGCCCGGGCTGGAGAGGTCCAATCGGAAGACGATCCTAATTCTCGCGAGAGCAAGTGGCACGTCACACCCCAAGGCGCTAAAGAGCGTGGTGCTTTCGGGGTTCCGCTCTCCTCTTCGGGATCGTCTGCCTCCTTCCGGAAGAGGGAAGAAGGCGCAGGTGGATCTCTGGTTCTCGGTCCGGATCCTTGAGAACTTTGAAACCTTCCTGGTCGGGAAAGCAGGTTGCCGGGCCGAGGCCAATGTTTGCAGCATGAAGACGTCAGAGGAGCAGCTGTTGGTTCCGGACAGCCTGTCTTCAGACCCGGGTCCCGATCCAGCGCCTCTCCCTCCCCAGGCTTCCCCGAGGGGTAAAAACACAGACCCAGAACGGACGCCACCGCCACCGGATGGGGATGGACAGCCTGGGATGTCCCCAGATCCCGTGGCTGCCTTAGCCGTGTCTCCGGAGCTGTGGGAGGAGGACGCGGTTTCTCTCCCCGCTCCTCCGGTCGCAGAGTTTAGTACTCTTGATAAGTCGAGCCCTCGAACCGAGGAGCAGGAACTTTCTGAACATGCAAGCCTTCCTGCAGAAGAAACGGACCGGCCAGAGGTGGAGACTGAAGAAGCCCTGGAAGATGTAGTTGAGGAACCCACTGCATTCGAGGAGGGAGACACGTAAGTGGCAAGTGGACTCGAATTTGGGAGTGGAAGTGTGACACAGATGCACCAGTCCTCAGCCCCACTTCTCTAGGCCCTTTTTCCCTTTTGCTCTGGAGACCCAGGCTTGTTCCTTCATCTTCTTCCAGCATTTGGAACTACAGCTTCTGCCACCCACCTCGGTTTCTCAGTGGTTCCTGGTCTGAGTTCAGTGCCCAACCTGAGAACTTCTTGAAAGGATGTAAATGGTAAGTAAGGATACTGGAGCAGGGATATAACCATCCTTAGGAGTTTCACTCTAAACTGCCACACTCCTCTGGCCAACATTGGTGAGGCATATCTGTAATCCCAGCACTTAGGAATCGAGGCAGGAGGATAAGAAGTTCAAGGGGGGGCTGGGAAGGTGGCTCAGTGGTAGAGTGCTTGCCTTGTATGCATGAGGCCCTGAGTTCGATTCCTCAGCACCACATAAGCAGAAAAAAAAAAAAGTTCAAGGGCCAACTTTGGTCACATTATGAGATCCTATGTCCAAAAAGGAAAACAACCTCCATCCCCCTTATCTGGAGAAGTATTCATCAGAAGTGGACAAAGGAATAATCTCCGTAAAGACTGTGGTTAAGGGACTTTTTTACACCAGTATTGGGAACTTGGGTCTTGACTGTGCTAGGTAAGGGCATACCACTGACCTGCAGCCTCAGCCTTTGTGTGTGTTTACGCCTGTATGTGTGCGTGCACATGCCTGCATGTGTTCGTGCACAAAAGGCTTGAACTCCGTGCCTCTTGTTCTTGTTTAGCTTTTTCCACTCAAGGCTGGCACTCTTGCAGTTGAGCCACACTTCCACTCCAGGCTTTTTCTGGTTTAATTGAAGAGTCTCCAGATTTGTCTGCCCAGGCTGGCTTCTAACTGGGGATCTTCAGAATTTAACTTCCTGAGTAGCTAGGATTAAAGGCATGAGACACCAGTGTCCAGCTTTTTATTTTTTTGGTCCCAGTCCTGGGGTTTGAGTTCAGGGCCTAGGCACTGTTCCTGAGTTTCTTTTGCTCAAGGCTAATGTTCTACCTCTTGAGCCATAGCTCCACTTGTGGCTTTTTGATTGTTTATTGGAGATAAGAGTCTCAAAAAACTTTCCCACCTGAGCTGGCTTTGAACTGTGATCCTCAGATATCAGTCTCTTGAGTAACTAAGATAACAGGTGGAAGTCCCCAGCATCCAACTTTATTATTATTATTTTGCCAGTCCTGGGGTTTGAACTCAGAGCCTGGGCTCTGTCCTTGAGCCTCTCTGTGCTCAAGGCCAGTGCTCTACCACTTGAGCCACAGTGCCACTTCTAGCTTTTTCTGTTTCTGTGGTACTGAGGAATCAAACCCAAGGCTTCATGCATGCTAGGCAGGCACTCTACCACTAAGCCACATTCCCAGCTTCTTTACTTTTTAATCTTTCTTTCCTTCCTTCCTTCCTTCCTTCCTTCCTTCCTTCCTTCCTT